TATTTGAATTGTCTGACCGCTCCCTTCATTTCCAATGCGGTATTGATCGTCGATTATATAGGAGGAGTCATTCTAATTAAACAAGTTTAATATACATAAAAACAAGAAAAAAAGTTAAAAAACAATCAAAACCAATAAAAAAGAAAGGCAACCAACGAAAAATATTGCGTCATATTAATTGGCAGGGGGCGGGATGAGTACGGTAATTGCAGTGACACTTGCCGCATGCCGCAAGGGAGAATGCCGCGATCGGGGAGAAGTTCCGTTACCCAGGTGCGGGGCATCCGTGCGATCCGGTAACGCGACTACCACTATGCCCTAGCTGGTGAGTTTTTGGACCCGATAGTGTCCTTCGTGTTACCCTCGGGAGCACTGAGTATTCCTAAGAGGGAGAACTCAGAATCCATTTCTATCGTGAACTGTGCCTTCAAGTAGCTCCAACCCGCCCCTCCTGTACCAGAATCTTGCACCCGCCCCTCCCGTACCAGAATCTTGCTGAGGAATCACTAGTAATGGAAGTAAGGTAAGAAAGAGGTGAATTCCGTGATGAGTTTGCATTATTTCGGCAGCAGGGAACTCTTACATTTCCTTACATTCAACGAACTTTATCAGCATGTCACATCCAAATTAGTTTTTCATAAAGATGCCCGGATTCGAGGCGAGCAAAACCATTCTTTTATTGAAAAAAAAAGACCACTTCAAAGAAGTTTTCAACAATTTCGACTTAAACTTACTGAAATGTTTCTTTCTGCACGATAATCAAACAGGTGAAACCAGAAACGTGAATTTCTGTTGAAGTTTCACTTTCTGCATGCATGTATGGATGGTATGCCACTTGCCCATTCCGCCAGAAATCGAACATGACTTCCACATAAAAAGCTTTTGTGGCCTTTATCACGTTCAAATGATATGCCCGTCCCTTCAATTTGAAAGCCGGCCACGCCGATCAGAATCACGAATACAGATGAGACCATGAGGGAGGTTATACTTTTAAAAAAAAACAGCTTTTAATGGCTACATGAAGAACATTACTATTATTACAATAGTTGGAAAGTTCGATTTCTACACTTTTCAGTATATTACCACGGGATGACAACAGCCCTGTCATCGCAACGCGCAATAGTAAGACCGCAGATGTCGTAAAACGTTATTCGGTACACGAGCTCGCGATTCTTTTCGTTAGCGAAGTGGTAAATCGTGGCGTTCAATCGGGTTGTCTGGGAGTCGGTTTGTATGCTTGGCTTCTCTGTATGTCTGTCCGTCCGCAAAACTGTCTATGATCATGGTGAAGGCAATGATAAGGAAACCCGCCTTAAACTGACGAAGCAACATTTGAAAGTATGCTCAAAGGGTAATTTGTTGAGATGTTAGCGCTAGCGCTAATAGAGTGCCGATAGCGCTTGTATAGAACAGATCATAATATGGGTGTCTACATCGCGTTGATTCTCATTAATTCAGAGTGATAAACTTATTTGTGGAATGATTGAACGAGTGCTCATTACTGAGAGAGCAACTGATGAATTGGTAAGGGAATTAGAGACGGAATGAAAATTCAGAACTAGCACCTTTTGCCACGCATAGAAATCACAAGCAAATTGTGTTCCCACTTAGAATCATATGTATTGGGGACGTAAGATCGAGTTTACCTCTGAAATACACTTGCACTTGGGGCGAAAATGTAGTCGGAGAGGATAGAGATGAGGATGGAGGGATTTCTGCAATGTTGAGCCCTAGGGCGCTGTTAGGGAGGAATGACCAATTTCGCGAGTCATTATGAGGTTAGAAACGTTTCCTAAAAGAAACAATCTTTTCCCATTCAATCTCAGGAGTGGAGGAGCACTGGGGTGGGTGAATGATCGTTCAATTCTTACCCCTTCTCCGCTTTCGTCATGAGGCAGACATCTCACCCACCCAGGTGCTTCCTCTCTTGAAAGGTTTAGGCGAAACCTTATTCCTACGGTTGATTATCTCTAAGTTAAGTCGGCTACCCCTCCTCCACTGTACTACAGCGCTGAGGAAAGAGATACCCCACCTCTTTTAATTACTACCAGTCGGGCCGCCCGGCTAACGCCGGGATTTCCTCCTTCTTATGGTGTTGGCCGGCTTCGCCGGGCGCTTCTCCTTCTTGCAAGAAATTTGCTATGCGTAATTAACACTTCGGATTCCCTTTTTTCTTTGAAAGCTCTACACCCTCAGTATTAGCTCCAAATTTGGAGCGATTTTTTCTGTAAGCCATCTTCGCTGTGTCCGGAGAGAACATTGTATAATATCACAAAAGCGATTATTCAGAGAAAAAAAAAAGACAGATGGGCTGAGGAAGCGTACCATCGTGAAATGTCCGTGCAATTGGAATACTTCGAACGCCCTAAGGACAAATTGTAAATTTTCGCGCAAACACCGCCCCTGTGGGCGGGGTCCTTTCCTACCACCTATAATAAGTGTTCCAATCCTGTTGCCTGTATTCCTACCAAGTTCGAACGCTGTAGGGCCAAGTTGACAATTTTCGCGCAATCCCCGTCCCCTGTGAGCGGGGTGTAGTCCTGCCTTCTACAATGTGTTTTCCCATCCTGCTCCCATTGCTCCTACCAAAATTGAACGTTCTAGGTCCTCGGGGACAGGAGTTGTCACGAATATTTATTTCGCACAAACCCCGCCCTTGTGGGCGGAGTCCGGTCCTGCCATCCTCCATAAGTGTCCCTATCACGTTCCAATAAACCTACCAAGTTTGAACGCCTCAGGACCAAACTGGCAATTTTCGTGCAAACCCCGCCCTCCGTAGGTGGAGTCGGTCCTGCTACCCGCTACAGCTGTTCTCATGCTGCCGCATATACTCCTTCAAAAATTGGATTTTCTAGGTCCACGGGGACAGGAGTTATAAATTTCTATTAAAACCCCGCACCCTATGGGCGGAGTCTGGTTCTGCTACCCTTCATGAGTGTTTTCATCCCGCCGCCGGTACTCCTTAAAACTTTGAACTTATGGGTCCATGGGGACAGGAGTTATGATTTTCCGCTCAAACATTTTTCACACAAACCCCGCCCTCTATGGGCGTAGTCCGGTCCTGCCACCCACCATGAGTACTGCCGTCCTGCCCTCAGTTATCCTACCAAGTTTGAACTGTCTAGGGCCACGGGGACAGCAATTATAAATTTCCGGTCGGACACTTATTTCGCACAAACCCCACTCCCTGTGCATGGAGTCCGGTCCTGCCACCCACCATGAGTATTCCCGTCCTGCCCTCAGTACTCCTATCAAGTTTGAACTTTCTAGGTCCACGGAGACAGGAGTTATGAATTTCCGGTCAGACACACACACACAAACACAAACACACCAACAGACACACTTAGCCGATTATATAAGTAGGAAACATTTTCATTGTCCGTGTGATTAATAGAATTATAAACGCAAACTTACCGGTTTTTGTACTGGATTAAATTACCTGATAATTGTATCCACATTGAGCGAAATAGTTCAATATGCTGTGAAGCCTCGACTGGTCTGTTTCAAATCGTCGGTTCAGAAAAATGTACGAATTGCAGCCCATCGCCCATCCTTAAGCGACAAAAACTAGACGGACAATTGAGAAGTCTAAGACCAAGCAGTCAAAAGCCGCAGCTATACAAAGACTACAATACTACAATATGCATCTCCAACCCTGAAGGTTAGAACGCAGGGAACAATGAACCAAAAATAAAGCGCTTCCCAAGGAAGAGGATGGACAGCTCCTGCTCTATTCCTGATACGAGTATAGTTTCCAATATCTAACTGACATCACGGTGCCACACATCCTTTGCGGTACACGAACGAAAAAATGAAATCTTGGCAAACTTTTACGTATTCACCGCATATTAATTGGCAGCTGTCAACTGTAATTTTTTACTGCACGATTTGTTTTTTGAAAAGGAAAGCTGCACTTCCGGTTCCATTAAGAGATCGCTGTTACTCTCAAATTTGTTCCGGAAGTATAGTGATCTTTACAGAGCTTGGCATTGTAAACCGCTACATCTCTTCTCATTTTTAAAATGGGAAAGACACCTGGTTCTTCCAAACAAAACTTGAGCAATTTTGCGGCCCTAAACAATGAGATCTGGAAACTACTAGATTTACGCATCTACTCAAGACCGAAAAAAAGCTCTTGTTCGAACTTATTAATTTCAATAACTTTACGTAGCAACGTTGTTCTGCAAATATCACATGTATGCCCGCCACTTTCTATTTGGTGGCACTTATGGTTCAGCCTAGCGACTGGTTTCACTTCGTAAACCAACTTCCGTGCAACAAAGGCGATAGAAGCTGCTGTCTAAATTGAGGGTGCAAAGGAACAACAACCTGGCGTACAATAGGTATCGTGAGAGTAGAAATGAAAAAATTTCCTAAAAGTGTTCGAGTACGTAGTTTACTGACTTGATGAAATGAGATGGTATCACATGAACCACTGATTTTACGGACATTCCACCTAGCCTTTCTAAATTCCTAATTTAGATCCCAAATCAGTACACTCACAGTCCATTTTGCCTTCTGAGGTTGCTGTTGGAAGTGTAACAGGTTCGACAACAAGATGACGATATTAATAGCTGATGCCGTAGGAGCTGCACGAACTGACTTAACTACATATAATTAAATAAATGTAGCCTTGATGAAGTGAAATCAAGAGCTTCCACTATTCAATTTTATAGAGATAATCATTATTTTCACAAAAGGAGTAGGAGCCGTTTCGCTGGGAAATTAGCCCGCTTTAAAGGTGTTGAAATGACGGCACTACATCAGGACGCGATAACTCCCGAGAAAACATCGAGCGCTCCATAGTCAACTATTGCTCAAATGCAGCGTTTCAAATAGATTGGCGCGGGAATGTAAGAACGCGGGAGCCACCACCCTCGTGTATTCGCGTGTTGTATTCGTTGCCTTTCGTGGCTGCTCTTGTTCAGATTGTTCAGATTGCAAGTGTTTTTCCTTTCATTCTATTGATCCTTTCATTGGTCCCAGCAACCGGCGTCAAAATGTCGTTCGATAAAGAAAGCACCGATTACGACAAACACAAGGCTCAAGTCCGAGAGTTCGTCGAGAACTACTACGGTTTGGACGAAAATGGATCCAAGGTGGGTCGTCAGGTCGACTAGAAAAAAATGGTCTTTGCTCGGGATGCTCAGTTAGATTTAGGTTTTCTGCTACCGTGATGACGTGCTACGCATTGCTGAACGAGAACAGGTTGCTCTCTACGTCAACCTGGATGATGTTTTCCGATTCGACGAGACCCTTTCCACCCTTATAGAAGGCAATGCGCGACGGTAAGTAATTGGAGTAAAGTGTACGGTTTTGCTGGCAGATACAGGCACTGGATCAGATTTCTAGTAGATGAGTGTGTAGATACTGACGTGAAAAACTCGTCAAGCAAAAGTACCCAGCTCTATTGTCGATGCCTTTACTAAGTTGCGCTCATCAATCCCTCTGTTTATTCATTTCGCGTTCCAGTTTTCATCGCATATTCAACGAAGTTATCGACGAGATGGTTCAGGAAGCTTTGGGTGGACGGCAGGTTGAATCTATCAAAGCGTTGTTAGCAACTCACAGAACATACTCATAGAAGAACTTAATGGAATCATATCTTAAGCCACCAATTCGTGATGCCTTGGATGCGTTCATTTTTCAAAGAGTGCATATGGATGACCAGCTAAAGATGGCGGAAGACTTTATGGGTGGAAGTACACAAGAGGTTCGAAAAAAATACCCTCCGCAGTTACTCAGACGCTTGTAAGTTTTCCGCAAACGTTTGCGGTTGGAACCCAAGCAACAGACAACCGGGTGAAAGTTATTGTTTTTTGCAGTGAAGTAGTTTTCAAGAATCGTGATGCTATGAAGCCTCTTGCAGTTCGTGATCTCAAGGTAATTTGTGGTTTAATTACATTATGTTATTGAATTTTACGTTGATATATTACGATTTCTTGTGTTGCAGGCAAACTGTGTCGGAAAACTTGTCACTGTTACCGGAATAGTAATTCGTGCTACAGAAGTGAAACCCATTCTTGAAGTGATGACGTACGCGTGTGATACATGCGGAGCCGAAGTTTACCAACCCGTAAGTTGTGGATTCTCATTAGCCCAAAACGTAATTTGCTCTTAATTTGCTTAAACCACAGATCAATGGCCCATCATTTATGCCAGCAGTAAATTGCCCTAGCAAGGATTGTGTGGAATCAAAAGCAAACGGTCGTTTGCACATGCAAGTCCGAGGTTCGAAATTCAATAAGTTCCAAGAGATAAGGATACAGGAACTGGTTGGTTTTTCTCTATGCTTCGATGGTAGCTCGTTTGAGGTAAATAATTTAGAGTGACCAAGTACCAGTGGGATCGATTCCTCGAGCGCTCACTGTAAACATTTACGGAGAAGCAACGAGACAGTGTGCTCCTGGTGATCTCGTGCGTATATCAGGCGTACTAATTCCACTTCTAAAGACTGGATTTCGGCAAGCTGGTGGTGGCCTAGTCACCGAGACTTTCTTGGAGGCTCATGTCAGTTCATACTGAAAACGGGGAAAGTGTAGTTCGGGGGAGAGGGGAGGGCAGCGTCCTCTCGTGTTCTGCGTCTCTGACACCAGGCGACAGAGTGCATAGAGATCGCGCTATAACCCAGAAATCGTTTCTATCCTCTAATGCCTATGAAGAAGCGTTCCATAGCTTTTTTCAGTTATAAATGTCTTTTTTAGCCAAGTCTGATAAGGAGAGGAGCTCCAGGATGGGTGATGTTCAACTCTCACCCCATCTTGGTTTCTTGCTTGAGATAATCATCTCTTTTCACCCCGGAACTCCTCACTTTCTAAAAGTTGGGCAAAACAATACTGTTCCAACCGAAAACCATCTCTAATTGTAAGCACGAATAAGGTTGGCTACCCCGCCTCCGCGCTTTAGTGTTCCATGATTTAAAACGGCGTTGCCCTCTCCCGTCTATCCGACTACATTTTCACTGAAAACTAACAGACCTCCTAACTAGTTTTAGATTGTAACATTAATGTTCAGTTTGTTGAAAATGTCCGCTGCAATGTAGATGATGAAGATCTTGGGGACGATTTAACAGAAAATGAAGTAAGATTTCATAAGGTCTAAAAGTCTAAACATTAAACAAAAAGAGAACTTGTTTAAGGTTGATCTACTCGCACAAGACAATCTCTACGACATGCTCGCGTACTCAATCGCTCCAGAGATTTATGGTCTTACAGATGTCAAGAAGAGCCTGTTACTTGCTCTTGTAGGGGGCGTTGATAAAAATGCAAGTGGAATGAAGATCAGGGGTGAAAAATATTTAATTTTAATCCTTTGAAAGCTGACTGTTTTCAAAAAGAGTGCCCTAGGATGTCTTAATGTGTTGCTAATGGGTGATCCTGGAGTTGCTAAATCTCAACTGTTATCCTATGTGAACCGTCTTGCACCTAGATCACAATATACAACTGGGCGAGGGTCATCTGGTCTGTCTTACTGATTTTGGTTGTAAAACCAATTTTTACAATCACTACCGTTATAGGAGTTGGATTGACAGCTGCAGTTGTTAAAGATCCTCTCAGTGGTGAAATGACACTTGAAGGGGGAGCCTTGGTATGATTCAGCAAACATATTTTTCCCTGAATGATAAATTCTTCGGGCGTTAAGCAATCCCGCCTTAGGTGCGTATGCACCTAACCTAAGGCATTCTGAATGGGAGTCGAATGCGTATGCATTCGACTCCCATTCAGAATCGTATTGGCGTATTGAATGGGTAAGTGCTCTATATAATGACCTGCGTGGCCAGCTGATGAGTCTGCAAAAATTAGCTGACCTTAGTGGGAGTGATGTAGTGGCAAATGACGCGCTACACGCATGATCCCGGGTTCGAATTCCGGGTCCGTATTCGATTAAGCCAACCTTTCATCCCCGCGGTCGGTTGGTACTAAACTCGTCTGGAGGAATAAAAGCACAGACTTGCACATCGGCTGCCATTTTAATTCACCGTGTAGGCCACTATACATGCAACGCGTCAATACGATTCTGAATGGAAGCCGAATGCGAAGGCGCACCCCTCAGGCGGTATTGGTTAACGCCCGGAGACTATCCTTTGATACTTTATATTTTGCCTTATGCACTGTACATCTTACTTTTGCTTTCTAGGTTCTTGCGGATCGTGGAATTTGTTGTATCGATGAATTCGATAAAATGATGGAGAGCGATAGAACCTCAATTCATGAAGTATGTAGAAATTAATGCAGAAGTTTGTGTAGAATGACCGAATTTGGCAGGAGTAGAATGCTAATGATGGGTTGAATAACCGAAGTTACAGGATGCGGACACGCTTATAGAACAATCTTACCTAATTCTCAGCATTTGTCTGCCATCTTAACAACTGTTTCTAAAAATGCGTTGTTCACAAAAAGTGTCTAGGTTATGGAACAGCAGACCATTTCAATCGCAAAAGCGGGGATAATGACAACGTTGAATGCTCGCGTCGCTATCATAGCGGCAGCAAATCCTGCATTCGGAAGGTCAGAACAGTTAGTAAATGTGAAACAAGAAGTGAGGTTTACATCTCTCATTTCTGCTTTCAGGTACAATCCTAAGAGATCCATTGAGCAAAATATCGATTTGCCAGCGGCCCTGCTGTCGAGGTTGAATGCTTTTTCATAAAATGTTGCTGGACATCTACCCATTCTCATATCACACGAATAATTAGATCTCATATTAAAGCTAAAGGAGAATTAACGGAGAGGCTTTCTTTATTTTAGATTCGATCTGCTTTGGTTAATCCAGGATAAGCCAGACCGTGATGGTGATAAGCGACTCGCATCTCATATTACCTACGTGCACATGAATTCTAAACAACCAGAAGTAGATGGAATGAAGCCTGTCAACATGCGTCTTATAAGGTTAGGTTTACATTCATAATCGTACTTCAGAATGAGGGTTTTTGGGAAAAAAAAATGGAAAGAGAAGAATGCATTTGTAGGCGACTTATCGAAGTTGCTCAACGAAAAAATCCCGTGGTAGGAGATGCACTTCGCGAAAGGTAGTTTTAACATGCGAGCTCTCATTACATATCTATCTATCTTCTATATTAAACTGAATTACCAAGGCTTGTCGAGATGTACGTCGATATGCGTCGAGTTTCTCGCGAAAGTGAAGACTCCACCTTCGCATCGCCTCGTCTTCTACTGTCTGTCATAAGGTAATTCTCTGGGCATTGATACGTAAGCATTGCGAAAAAGGGTGTTCACTGCAAATTTCCTTCAACTCTGTTCAAGTACTGAAGTCACCATTCCACTGCAGGATGTCGACAGCGCTGGCGCGTCTGCGGCTTTCTAATGTTGTTATGTCAGATGATATTGAAGAGGCTATCCGCTTGATGCAGGCAAGCAAGGACTCTTTGAGACCCGAAATGCAACAACAGGAAATGTCGGTGGTTCACCTTATTTGACTTCTGATTTCATCGTTTGAACGCTTTTTCAGTCGTCAATCTCCAGTGGACAGAGCGTTTGCTATTTTGCGTGAGCTTTGCATATCAACTGGTGATGCCATCACACTTCAAAGCGCATTGGAAGCGTAAGTAGTTGGGGTCCATTTCGACATGAAACACAGCGACTTCAGAGGAGAGCTTCTTTCAGGTGTGCTCGAAAAGGAGTGAGCGAGCAAGCTTTGCAGGATACTATAAAAGTTCACGAAGCAAATGGAGTAATAGTGGTCGACGCCCAGAAAAGAATCCGTTTCACCATGAACTAGTACTTATGGTTTTGTCTTCATTTACCTTATTTCGATAATTACGCGAGAAAAGGTTTCCCGTTGATAAAATCGCTTTTGATCTCGGATGTTGAGCATGTTTGATGACCTCATTCATGGTTTCAAATATAATATCCAATGAACTAATGTCATGTGAATTGTAATTTCATATATAAAAATGTAACACGTTAATGAGTAGCATTTGCATGCGGTATAATTTTTAACTTGATGTCATGCTTCGGGTACGCTACTAGATGGGAAGTAGGGATGTGTTTGGCAAGATATAAAAACATGGAATGATTTTTCACTATTTGCAGTCTCTCATTTTTCGAAGATATTACCAACCTGCTCCTGGGATAAGTCTAAGAATTCCTTTCAGGATGATTTTCTCCGATGTACATAACCAGGGATCCATCTTGAAAAGGGCATTCCAAAAGTACAACCAATCTAACCTATAGAGCAAGCGTTGTAGCATAGCATAACAAAAAAAAAACAGATTAAGACAAGAAAATCGTACCTAGTTCGGTGGTTCATAATTATGAGTGCTGGTTTGCTGTGATCGATCATATCGCCGCGTATCCGGACTCTTGCACCAAACACGTAGGTCATTAGGGCCTAAAGTTGTTCAACAGTGCATCTACTTCCGGATTTCATAAATGCGATGATGAAAACCCTGCTTAATAGCCAAACATAAACGGAATGTAAGGTGTTATCGTGATTCTCTAACTCCTCCCCAGCCACTACCCCTGATCCTCAAACATTAAGGAACTCGTGTTCGATCAGTCTGGTTGTCATAGAATGAGCGCTGTATTTGAATTATTCAAATCCTATATGGTCACTCTCAAAATTTAAAGCTTAGAAAGAATTTCTTAGAAATGTACAAACTAGAATTCTCTTTCTTGCCTTTCGAATATTCTGAAGCACTACTAAAGCTCGATATATATGGTGTGGCTGCCTTAATAAATATATCATTCATTACTATGAGCTAGTTACGATCAGTAACGGGAAACCGAAAAGGTATGCACTGCTTAACAAGCGGACGCGTGACATTTTTTTGGTACCTTCTTGTTATACTGCTTCTGTGAATGAGGACAATGTTGGATACGAAAAAAAATTAAAAAATAACGGTGATGGACTCTTTTAACAAAAGGACTCACTAGAACCTAATCCTAGCTCCACTCGCAAACTGCTAGGCTCATCGATAGTAGAAGAAAAAAGTCATCAGGAAAAATGTTAATAAAACACACAAATAAACTCACTCCAGGCATGACTACCCAAATTCCAACCAAACGGTCCATGCACTTGCGCCATAGTCGAGGTTTGATGTAAAGAATAGGTAGTAAAGGTGTGATGATGAAAATCGTTCCTTACAAAATATAGTAACGGAGTTCTGGTCGGCATAGATATCGATGAAGGAAATATTAGCATCTAAGAGAGAACTCACCGAGTAAAGCAGAGATCGCCGTGAAAGCGCAAAATATCCATCCTCGTAATCGAATCAAAAATGGCTGCTTTCCTGCCACTACAGGCGGTTCACCCGCTCCCATAATTTGCTGAAAATTACGTACTGAAGTTAAGAAAAGTAGCTAAGTACAGGAGGCAGGTGATTTTACTTAACCAGTCATAGTTGAAGAATAGACCTACAAGAACTTAAATACGAATAGCATGCAGTCCAACTTTTATTTCATGTTGAAACACGAATTCGTCATCGACCGCCCCCAACATACTTGTTCATTGTAGAAGAAATATTTCACTACAATTTTAACAAGAATTTATTTACTGCTCGGGCCTGCCAGATCTAACAGTCAACCGGGCTGATCAGTTCTATATAGGATTACGCCTCCCATCTAAGATTGATGGTCCTGGTAGGACTTATCATACGGGTCAATCTGAAGGAAGTCTGTGGGGCGTCGAGTACGGGCCGAACGACGCGGTGCGACGGCAGGAAGCGCATGTGACGCACGTCTTCGTTGTGGAGAACGCAACTGTTTTGGCCACTGGAGACAACAATTCTATGGATGACGTCGTTGAATAGGAGCCTTGTGAGGAATAGAACGAATGTTGGAAGCGTCTCCTTCTTCTCCTGTGTTTCTACCAGTGAGTAATGTGGGCGAATTCGGTTGGCGTGGCGCTTCACTATGAATCTTGAACTAACACGTCGTATAGCGTACGACCGTGCCGCCGTAGAACGTCCGGGAGACCACATAGGTTAAGCGAAAGTCATGAGAGAAGACAAGATCGTCCGGCTTGAGCTTTTCTGACTTGACGCCATGTTGTCGGTTAAAGTGCATATCCGTGGTGATGTCTGGCCTAGCTTCTCGCGCATAGCTAGACTTCAGCAAGTCCGCGTGGTACTGAGGCGTCGATCAAGGAGGTTTACTTCGAAAGATTGTGCAACAGGTGATGCGGTGCACGATGTGTTTCTTCAGGTGAAGAGTAAGGAGTGCCGAGCGTCAACAGCTAATCCATTGTTCTTAACCTACTCGACTGAGTGTCAAAGCACACAGCCTGTCCGTTAGACTGGAGATCAAACGGAGCGACCGGACAAGCTTGAACACATTTTTTCGACAAAAATCCTGGAACTTAGCGGAGGTGTGCGTTTGAGTTTTGAGTTCCTTCATCTGAGATTATGGTCCGGGGTAGTCGAACTGTTCGAATAGGCGTTGTAGTTCCCTTAGCGCTGCAATAGTGGTGGTGGAACTCATTGGAATGATGTCCGGCCATTTGGAGAAAGCGTCGATGAATACCAGGTAAGAAATTCCCTCAATTGGACCGTCGAAATCAATATGGATACGGCTACATGACGTATCTGGGCGATACCACGAACAATATTTGTCCTTGAGAGCGACTTGGCGGTTTCCTGCAGACGGCGAAAGTGCGAACGAGCTCTCCGTCTTGATCGTCAAGAACACTTGGTTGCGAGCGATGACGTGTTAAAGGATTTGACGAAGGCAGTCGTCCTCGGCGGTAGCGCTTGCTACATCTACCGGTGAATAGCCGACATTGTAGTGGATGATTGCGGTTTATCGATTCCGGCGTTGAGAAAAGGTATAGAGGCGTAGGGATTCGACCTCCCTTTGATAAAAACCGGGTGAGCATCGGGCTTGAGATAGTGCGCCGCTTAAGTGCAGCATTCAAGTTCAAGCTCCAAGAAATCCGTGAAGTGGTGCTTCAGTTTGGCAATCGTCTTGCTTGTGATGGTGTTGTAGTTGTGCGTCTGCACCCTCTGTATGTTGAATCTCTTTGAAACTGAGCCTAGGTCTGAAATTTGCTCAACTCATGTAATGCCAAGAAAGTCGTTGTCGTCGGAAACGTAGCAGACCCTTTTACAGGGTGGTCCTTCCATGGGTATTCACTACCATGAAAGCAGCGTCAAATCCTCGTGAATTGACAATGGTAGACCGTGGGCTCTCGTGAAGGCATCAGAGGTCTTCAGTAGACGCAGGCTTCTGAGTTGCATTCTGCTGGACGAGAGATGATATTGACGTCGGCGATGATGTCCAATGGTGGCGAGTGAGACGCCTACTTATACGAACTTCCAGGTATTTGTGGACATCCCCAGAGCTGCCGATGGCTCGATGATACCATGTGCGCGGTAATGACTGATTTATCTGATGTCGTGGCGCCAAGCAGTCACTACCGTGCACAAAACTGCAACGCTACTAGTCCTGTAGTCCTGAGCAACACTGGTAGCGTTGCGGCTTTGTGGGAAGCGCCTCTTCCTTTTCTGGACCGTGCGAAGTTCCCGCGCGTTGGCAGCTTCGAAAATTTGGAGTAGTTCTTGCGCGACTTCCAGGCGTAATAGTCCTTAGCTAAATCGTCGACGGTAACCTCCTGTCTTCGCCAAGCTCGCAAAGGCAGCGAATGGAGTAGTCGACCTCCGAGTCCTGGGAGGCGAACACCAAGGCTATGCGCACCCTTTCCAAGGTCCCTTAAGTTGCTCTCAGATCACGAGAAAGTTGATGAAATTGACAATGTTTTCGGTGGGCGAGAAGCTAATCCGGAAGCATTCGAAACGGAGGCGAAGGATGCTTTTCGTGGTGCCAAGGAGTGTCTTCAGCGTTTAAACAGTATCCGTTCAGTTCAAGTCCCTTGGCTCCTTAGAATGGATGTGGCAAGCGAAGCGAGTGTGGCTTGTAGTGTCTAACGCAGTACGAGCATTGGCTCGCTCTTCATTGGGTGTCTTCTTTGCTTCGTCCATCCCTTGGTAGTCGACTTCTGGGATGTCCTTGTTCCGGTTGAACCACAGGTCGAAGCAGTCGTCTTGCTCAAAACTCCTCGATTCTATTACTGAGTTTACTGTTGTCGGAATCGCCTTTTTTCCTATAAACCGTCTTCCATCAACCCACTAAATTCCAAGAACCCCAGGGCACGCAGGTGATGGAAAGGAGAACCACTCATCGTAACTTTGTGGATTCTTCGAAACCACAGAGCAAGTAATGGTACCAACCGAGTAGTAGTTAATAGGGACTATTGAGCAGCGGTGAGAAAATAGCGTCGTGCACAACGTATACTTATCATTGAAGAAGCGCGATTGTTGTGTGGGTCACTCTTTCACTGAACCACTGCTTGAATTCGAATAAAAGGCGAAAGCTTACAGTCAATCAGGCTTTGCGTGAAGTTTTGGGTTGTAGCACCAGCAGTGTTAAGAGAGGAAGTTTTCCTTTGAAATTCCATGTTTTTGTACTATGTCTTATACCACACAAAGGGAACATAGTGTTTTTCTAAAGAGGAATTGATGTCCCTGTACCGGGGTGGTGCAGTAGAAACGAAATCATCGCGCCGCGGCGAGATAGACGCCGCGTGCGAAGGAATGTAGCAGAATGCAACAGCAAGTAAGAAATACAGCAGAGTAGAATCATGCCAAAAGTAATAATCGCATAGCGATTGAGCTGTATGAAGAACGCTAGAACTGTTATAACGAGGCAAGAGGTCCGCGACAGCCGCGTGCGGCATATCGATTACACAAAACCGTTCCTACTGCCCGTCTCCCCCTGTACCTAATCATCACCATATCCGCTGTTAACAACGGTTAACCCTTTGACGACAATGCAGATTTCGCCGTGATGCGCCCATGGGACCACGCTCCCTTACTTTCGCGCGTGGCTGGCACCCACCGGTGGGTGCACTGTCCCAGGAGAAACTTCTTTTACTGGCTTATTGGATTCAGCATTGGTAAGAAACAAGAGCTACAGATCTCCTTCACTGAGGGTTCTCTCTCACTGAAGGATCCCCAGCCGGTTAGTGACGAGGCTACGTAGGGCGTCCCCAGGTGGCGGATAGGGGAATCAATCGCCGACCAAAAGTCACCGGTACTTGCCCAGAGACGCAGAAGGATTCAGGGGATGGACCCCTTGATTCTGCTGTGCTGGGTCGATATACCCACTGTTTCTCGCAGGCGATCCACGCATACGTGTGCGGGTGCAGTAGGTATCCTGCCCATCGACTCGGCCAAAAGCTTGCATTCGAGTAACGAACAAGTCATGCTGGGAAGTATCTGAGAGGCGATTTTGGGCCGCCTCCAAAAACAAAGCCCCTTGTCCACTTTGGGATAGCCTCGCAAGCCCCCGAAGTCAACAGTCCCCACGTCAGAGCCTGGCAAGCTGCACGTTGGGTATCTTCACGCCAAAAACGGTAGTAGAAATGGGCCTCATTCCCCTGAACCTGAGGAAGCCCCCAATACGGCAGCGTTGGGTAGGACCGCTCGGGAGAGGCTGCTAAAATCTCAGGGCCAAAATAGGCTGCCCAAAAGGAGAAGGACTAGGATGGCGATCTGTACTTTCAACGCACGGACGCTTGCATCGGAAGCGTGTATAGAAGACCTGATGATGCAAGCTAGGAAGACCAAGTACGACGTCATCGGATTGACCGAGACGAGAAGGCATCGCCCGCTGCACGCTGTATTTGAGACTGGAGAAGAACTGATTCTTGGAACATGCGACAGCAGAGGCGTCGGCGGCGTAGGTGTCCTCGTCAATACGCACTTGGCCATGAACATCGATTCGTACGAAAGCTTAACAACCCGAATCGGACGTTTGCGATTAAGAAGATGCGGCTCAATCCCAGCTCTAACCATCTTCGTTGCTTACGCACCAACATCGAGCTACGAAGAAGAGGAGTTGGAAGCGTTTTATATGGATCTGGAGAGGCTCTACAGAGAAGACCACACTTTCTTCAAGGTCATCGTCTGTGATTTTAACGCCAAGATTGGCCCCAGAGGATGGCTGAAGAGCTTCACATCGGGACTCACGGAGTGGAATGGAATGAGCAGGGTGAAAGGCTGTCCGAGTTTATCATGACGACCCACACCATCCATGGTAACTCGCAGTTCCAGAAGCCCTCTCATTTAAGATGGACATGGGAGTCACCTGGTGGACAGTTCCACAATGAATTAGACCACATAATCTTCAATCGGAGATTTTGCCTGACCGACGTCGCTGTTGTTCCGAAGTTCTACACGGGATCGGACCATCGTCTCCTCCGCGCTAGATTCTGCTTCTCAGTGCGTTTGAAAAGAGCTATGAAGTTTCGGAAACGAAGCCCCAAG